GCCCATGAACATAGCTTAAAAAAAACCCCCACATAAATGAATAATCAGCTCCCAGTTTTACAGCAAAATTGCTCTGTCTTGAAGGGGTATAAGTAACAAATGTATAGAGCAACACTCATTAAATAGAAAAAGAAAAGGATAAAAGGCTTCAGAATATGTGTGGTCACCCTAGAATGTATTAATACATTTATTTTTTTAGTGGTACTTTAAACCAATCCCACAGTCATAATGATGACACCGTTTTTACTCATATTTTGCAGCCACCAAACGAGAACTGTATGTGAATTCTTACCAGAATTTTCAACATAGTCTTGCAGATTTAGCCTCTCTGATGCGTTCCACAGATTTTGGTAAATGCTACATAGTTTTAAGTCCAGTGCCACAGTCTTCCCTCTTGGTGTTTCTTGACTTTGTTATTTTATTTTTACAGAGTTTATGTATAACTGGTATCCTGTTCAAAGTGGTTTGCATTTTTTTGAGTATCCTCTAACATATTTGCAATTCTGTGTACTGTTTCCCAAGAAGAAAACACTGAGCTTCCAAAACACAATGTGTTCATGAATAAGCATCAAGCATTCGATAAGTATTAAACACTGTTCAATGTTCAGCATTAACCAGTTGCCTCCAGCTGAGCATACAGAACTTGAGCTGAGTCAGAGAACATCTGTTGTCTGATACAAATTTCAGTTCTTAATATTCTGCTGATCTTGACTGGGTAGCAGGAAAACACTGGCAGTGAGCAGCAGCTCATAAGAAGATATAACAGTCAAATTGCTGTTTCAGAAGACAACCATGTCTCTCTCATTGCTTGCTTTAGATTTTAATTAGGAGATAATTCTTTTTCATAAGGCATCCTATTGCAAGACTGATGATCTGTTGTAAGACTTCTGGTCAAGAGCAAAGCATTTCATACTGTCTCTCATGACATCGTTGTCTCTAAATTGGAGACACATGGATTTTACGGGTGGACCACTCAGTGGATAAGAAATTGGCTGGATGGTCACACTCGAAGACTTGCCATCAATGGCTCAATGTCCAAGTGGAGAGCATTGATGAGTGGTGTTCCTGAGGGATTGGTGTTGTGACCAGAATTGTTTAACATACTTATCAGTGACATGGACAGTGGTATTGAGTGCACCCTCAGCAAATTTGCTGATGACACCAAAGTGGTGATAGTTGAGATGCTGGAGGGAAAGGATGCCATCCAGAGTGACCTCCATGGGCTGGAGAGGTGGGCTGGAGAAAACCTTATGAAATTCAAGAAGGCCAAGTGCAAGGTCCTGCACATGGGTCAGGACAATCCCAAACATGGATACAGGCTGGGTGATGAGTGGATTGAGAGCATCCTTGTGGAAAAGGACTTGGGGGTATTAGTGGATGGAAAACTGAAAGTACACTTGCAGCCCAGAAAGGCAACCATGTCCTGGGCTACATCAAGAGGTGTGGCCAGCAGGTCGAGGGAAGTGATTCTCTTCCTCTCCTCTGCTCTTGTGAAACCCCACTAGCAGTGCTGTGTCCAGCTCTAGGGCCCCAACATAAGAAGTATACGGCCCTGTTAGATTAAGTGCAGAGGAGGGCCACAAGGATGATCAGGAGGGCTGGAGCACCTCCCTTACAAGGACAGGCTGAGAGACTTGGGGCTGTGCAGCCTGGAGAAGAGAAGGCTCCAGAGAGACCTTATAGTGGCCTTCCAGTGCTTACAGAGGGCTACAGGGAAGATGGGGGGACACTCTTTATTGAGGAAGGTAGTGATAGGACAAGGGGAAATGGAAAGCAAAAGAGAGTAGATTTATCTTAGATATAAACAGAAATTCTTCCCTGTGAGGGTGGTGAGGCCCTGGCACAGGCTGCCCAGAGAAGCTGTGGCTGCCCCCTCCCTGGCAGTGTTCAAGGCCACATTGGACGGGGCTCTGAGCAACCTGGGCTGGTGGAAGGTGTCCCTGCCTGTGGAAGGTGGTGGAACTAGATGATCTTTAAGGTCCCTTCCAACCCAAACCATTCTGTGATTCTGTCTAGCCACAATGAGATTTTGGATAAGGTAAATTGTCACTGCAGGAGTTTGTGGGTATAATTAACTGGATAATATGAGCTGTGAGCTTGTCTTAGCAGGCATCTCTTGCTCACTCTAGAAGATGCATAGACACAAGTGGGGTGGCTAGTACCCTGCTGAAGAAAGGTAATGTGGAATGAGATGATTTGGTGAACAGGATATTGTGAGGAAACCTACTCTAGGTTCAAGCTGTTTGTAGAGTAAAGTCAGGATGACCTATATCTTTGCCTTGACTGTAGCAAGCAGAAGAGACCAGGTGTGCTGGCATAAATCCTAGTTTGTTATTTCAACCTCTCTGCTGACTAGTGAGTTTTGCTTCTGTCAAATGCAACTGTGTCCGTCCTCCCTAGATCTCTCACGAAGCCTATGGAGCACAGACAAGGATCTAACACTATTTTCCTTGAGGAACAAAGGCTTCTCAGGGCTGAGAAGAGTCTTAATTTAATTCTGCTCAGAAATAAATTCAGCAGAATGGTTTTAATCTGAGGCAGTTTGCTTCCAAAACGTGTGTGCTGCTTCTACTGTCTCTAGGAGGAAAAGGTGTGAAGCATTATCTGTACTAGCCAGCCATTTTTACTTGCATGTTGTAGGACTAGATATTTGATCAGTGTGTCCAGCAAAGGACACATCATTGAGAATCTAGAATTGCTCACAGCCCATCCCTCTACATCATCTTCTGGCCTAGAGGAAATATTTTGCTAGGTGAAAGAACTGTTTTACAATCTTGTCTAACTCATTTTCCCTGAATTGAAACTTTTGGATCCCTTCATGATTTTCTTGTTACTCATCTCCTTTTGGGGAATTGACAAGGAGGCAAAGAGACCAAGCCTGCAATGCTTACTGCAGATGGCCCCTATAAATAAAATTCAGGAAAAGGAGGCCAGTATTTTGTACGATCACTTAGAGCTTCCAGAAAATCATCCTAACTGACTGGTTAAATTTGATTTTGACTACAGTGGAACATTAGCCAGGCAGTGTAGATCTCTTCAAAATTCAATGCTTTCCCAGAAGTGTTAAAATGTTGATGACATTAAAAGAAATGGAGAATATTCAGAAATGGGATGTTTGAACATGGAACAGGCTAAATGCAAAGTTTCAGAGCTGGCTTGTTGTGTCACCCAGACTAGGTAGATGCAGTTCACTGGTGCGTGCACTTTCTGCAGATGTAAATGATTTGTAAAAACTGTCCCTAGAACAACAATGCACTGAATTCACAAATGTAAAGCAAGGGCTCTGAAAAAGAAAGATATCTTTAACAGCTGGTCAGAAAGATCCCATATTAGGAGGCATTTCGGGTAGAAGCAGTACTGCTAGTGAGGACTGACAGTACTTTAAAGACTGAACTTGTGCTCTGAACAGGATAGCTGAGAATCTGGCAACCACATCAGCATTGACTGTGTTTGCTAGAGCAATAATTCTGTGTAAGGGGGAACCCAGATCATGGAAAAGAGATTTGGAAATCTCTGACTTCTGTGCTCCTGTTGTTCATCCTTTGTTGGTATTCAGTAGCATTAGATTAAAGGCTATAAATGTTCATATGATTTTTCTATTTTTGTAAAGTAATATTCATGTAATTCACTGTTCATATGCTTAATCTGAATGGAAATTATCTTTACAGAGAAGATAAATATAACATGAAAGTGAGTAAAAACATTATGAAGGTCATTGTCATGTCATAGTCTATCAGACCAGTAGATACAACCAAGATGATAGCTTGGGCCTACCTGTATGGTATTTGGTTTATTCTTGCAACACTAAACACTTACAGTGCTAAAACTTTCATTGCTAGGGGTTAGGAATGCTTCAGTATGGTTTAGACAAGGAGATCAAAGTTTCTCCTAATTTCTCCTGCCTCTAAACTGGAGAGTGAAAGAATATATTCTCTTTCTCATTGACACTTTCTTAAATTTAAAAAAAACTTGTAGTGTAGAGAAAAAGTTAGGGCAAAGATAGGAGAAAAGTAATCAACTAAATATTTATGAACTTAATTTTTTTTACTTTTTCTTTGCAAATAGTCTTTGTCTTAAGCTATAAGGAACCTTTTCTACTGATAGCTCTACTACAGTAATACAAGGAGTGCTATTCAGGTGCTTAAACATTGGTTATCTAGGGCAATTTAAGACACCCTTGTACAACCTGTCCTGTCTTCTGCTGTCACTGCAGAAGGGTGTTGATATCTGTCAATTCTATGTGGTTGTCAAACCATTATGTTTGACTGTGTGAAGAGAAATTGAACCACTAGAATAGGCTATCATAACATTATCATTTGGGTGAGTGGCAAGTTTCATGACCTCATGGTATTATGGTAGAGAGTTTTTCCTAATTTGTCTGTGTTTGCAAAGCACATATCAACTGAGTATTGATCAATTATTCTATTGAATGCAATTACATTAAAGAGTAACAGCCTTGTGCTGAATGCTGCAGAAAAATAGATCAATAAATATCTAATGCTTTTTTTCCTTCTCCATTTCTTCTTCATATATGCAAAGTGGAAACCAAAAATCACTTCCCTTTTTCTTGTGATACCTCAAGGATACAGTCCTATAAATACTATACTTAAAAGCACATATGAGGACTATTCTAGTTTTAATATATGTTTAGCTGACATTCTACCCTATGTTGAAATCATCCTGATGATGATATTGAGCTCTTTTGTGGATCAGAAAGTCCTTCAGCCTGACCTGCTAAAGCTGATTGATAGCCTGCCCCTCATTTCTGGGTTGTGAATATTCTAGTAGTGATGCTGTCCCTCAAAGGGATAGTATTTGGTTTTATAAAATCATTTGTCCCCCTGTCATCTATCACCAGGGTTTTTTCATACTGCCTCCAGAGAAATTTCATCAGGAGCATTCAGATGCCCCATTGACAGAGCACCCCAAGAGCTCTTTGTGCTGTGGATCCGCAGAACTAAAGGAAGAAAACTGTAACAGAGTATGGACAGTACTGCCAGAATTCTCATGCTATGGTCATGGATTTAACATGGATGATGAGGAAGAAAGCAACAGGAAGTGAAAAAAAAAAAAAAAAGTGTTCTAAGTATACTGTGAATAGGTGTCTGACACAATGAGGGTTTTGCCAGGAAATAATCCAAATGCTGGTATGTTTTCAGAACATTGAGCCATCAGCCAACAAGCCAGTTCCACATATGAATAGCTAAAACTGTGAAAAAAATAATTTCCTGGGCATGGAATTTAGTATTTTTAAAGTGCTCTAAGGTAGGGTCCCCAGAACATGCTAATTTTGAAAACTGAAGTTTGGTATATTAGAAGTAGTAAAGAGTATTTTCTTTTTGTAACTTTAGGAATGCCTACTTCAGGAGTTTGCTATAAGCAAAAAGGGAGAGATACATGTCCTTTTAAGAGGCCATTCTAGCTAGACCTAATGCTCTTGTAACTTGCTTGATCCTCACCTTCTTCATTTACTATGTAGAGATCCTAACTTGTCTCCTTTGTGTAGGTAGTATCCTGAACTGTGTGCCTCCAGTTTGGGTGTTGCCAATATCTTCCCAAGTAATTAGGCAGGCTATTGTCTCTTCCTTGACAAAACTGAGTGTGTATTTCCAGAGATCAAACCTTAAGCTGTGTTGATTATTACACTAGTTTAATAATATATGAAGGAAATGTCTAGTTTATTTGAACTGGTCAAACAACAATGTGCTGGTATCACCAGAAAGATGGTTTACCAAACTGTGGTGAATTCATAAAACATCAAATAAATGCCACACCACACTGTCTAAGAAAGAAAACTATTTACTTGTCCTGTTAATAAATTGTCTCCTTGTCACATGCTGTTGTCCTAAACAAAATGGTCAGCTAAGTGGAACTTTAGCGCAGTACAGGGCAAACATCCTGAGATCTGTAATTATGTTGGAGGACATATATGATAAGAAGATTAAAATTTGAAATTAAAAAGAGGTAAATGTGAGGAGTGATGCTTAACCATGTTAGATAATACTATTATTGGAAAAATCTTTAGTTGATTTGTTGTCTCAGTCTTCATCTGTGTATTTGTTTTGCCGATTAAGGATACCAATTAAACTCGGACACCAGAGTGAAAAGAGCAGGCGTATTTTAGTGCATATAACTAAATAGTGTAACAGGGTAATACAGAAAACATACAGTAAGAAAAGACAGAACAGTGCACTTAAATAGGAAAATACAGGGTAATGCATCAAATAATTACTATATGAGAGAGAGAGAATGGAGATTAAGAAAGATCCATCACCACTTGCATATGTTACCATCACCCAGCCCCGCAGTGGCTGGGCAGCCCCGGTTACAGCGAGGGTTTGCAGAGCCTGTCCCGGCAAGGGGGAAATCCTACGCGGTGCCTCCACCCGTAGGTGAGGCTTCCAGAGTCACTGCAAAGGGGCCCAGCCTTCTATACCAGAGATCGACAGGCCAGCATAGCTGGCACCTTTGATTTAAGCGGAAATATCTGTTTCCATTCTCACTTTAGATTCTTCCAGAGCCTGGTCAGGGCTCAAGGCAGAAGCTAAGGGAGTTTCCCAGTTTATCTAATTGGATTATGAGCAAGGTCACACACCGGGTCACAGGGCCAGACAACTGTCTCCATGACCCTGTGATCTTATCTACACACAAAGAAAAAGATACACTCAAGAGAGCTACACCTTCCATACATATTTCACTAATGGTTACATACTGAGTTACCAGCTTCGGCTCAGAGCCTGTTGTTCAGGCTTCAATACTTCCACTTTTTACATCAGAACAGGTGGTTTGTTATAACTTAGTACAATATCTACTAGCACAATGGTTATCAGTTATAAAATAGGATTCATCTATAGGTCAACTCTGGCTTGAACCAGTTGTCAAACCCTCACAGTATTTTATCGTTATAACATGTAACTACATTGCACAAGGATTTTAATTCTTTTCTTAATTGTGTCATGATTGTATTGGAGAAGATATCTTTAATTAAAGCAAAATATCTTGCTGGTTTTGATGAATTTTTAAAAGCCTTCTTAAGATACATTTACTGGTAGTGGAACTCAATGAAACTTCCAGTATTTTTAGACAACCTAAAAGCTTTGAGCGAAAAGTGTGACATAAATGTTAATGATAATACTGTGTAATTTATGTGCTTAACAATGCCACAACCCTTTTCTCCCTTCAAAAGACTGTGACAGAACTGACACATTTACTGGACTTTGTGACAATTCAAGTATGTACACAGGTAAGTAAAACAAAAGGCGTTTTGCAGCTCCATATAAATCGGTTGATTGCTGGACTGGTAAGATTTGATTTCTGCTTTAATTTGTTTAATTACTTGGTTCAGATCCTTTAACGTGAAAAATGGTGAGGCCTAGACTGACTGCTCTCTGGGTTATTTATTCACTTAGGTTACTTCACAGAAGTTCTGAGGGAGGTTCTGCAGTGGAGAAGCTAAATAAAACAACTTTTCCATTATTAAACTCCTACTGCTGAGTTAAATAACCATGCTCAATGACATCTAGCTTATTCTTATTATCAGTGATTCCCTAAATTAAAGATTTGCTGTTTTTGCTGTTGTAATAATCCACTAGGTAAAGAGGCTTAGTTACAAAAAAAAAAAAAAAAAAAAAAAAAACTGGAAGTAAAATCTGTGTTTCAAATATTGGGATATAGGATCAAAGTAAAGAGTTCTGTTTCATGCTGATATTCTATCCTGTCCCACCAGCATCCTACACAGTCTCAGGGTAAAGATGAATTCCATTACCATATCCATTTTATTCACATACTTGTACCTGTCTCCCACAATCATTAACCCATGTTAAAAGCAAAGGATGTAAAAATCCCTGGTATGCCAAATGAAGCTGTCCTATAACAAAAAAAAGAAAGGTCTACAGTAGTATATCATTTGTGTCAACCTGTTATCATGAATCAATCAAAAAGACTGTCAAATTAATTGTCAGTGTCAATTCAGGTAGTGTGTTAATGCCATCCTCAAGCAGGTTTTGGGTTTTTTTACACAGGAAAGAATGCAAGCACCAATCTACTGGCAGAACTTTTCCTATAAAAGTGTCAAGGCTGAGCATGTGTTACATGTATTAATTGCCTACACAAATACAAGTAAAGGTGAATAAGATATCTTGTTGACTGAAACAACAAATTTGATTATATAGACAATTAATTTTTCTTCATTGATGGCTGTTATCATCCCCCTTTCCTATTTTTTTTTTCTCTGTAAAGTGTGATATTTTAAATGTATAAGAACTTCCTTTGCTTTTTCCAAAAAATGTATATTTCAATGTAATTGATTGTTAAATGCACTGGCTCAAGTTATTGATTAGAATATATATATATTTTTAATTTTGTGTATGCCATTTAAGTCAAAATGTTTAAAAAAAAATTGCTACACATAAATTTTAGAAGTTGTAAAGATTCAAATGTTCAAATTCTTCATTGAACTCCTGAAGTCAGTACAGTTCCATGCAGACTTATTATTAAGGTTAGCTTGAAGGATGCAGGCATAAGACTGATACAGAGTCTCTGGGGAAGAGCTTGGATTTTTAGTAAACTAATAGCGCCATGAGCAAGTACCTCATCTTGACTGATCTTCAGCCAAAAGTTTTATTTTTCCTTTAATACTCTACATTTCATGAGAAGTTCAATAATTTAGATCTAAATAAAGATATAATTGGGCAATTTTCCAGTTCTTCCACTTCATCTAGAAGGCTGTGTATGATTTTCTACATGTTCAGAGCTGAATACTCAGTGCTCAGTATTTAATATTCAATAGTTTTTCCTTTCAGAGAGCATTTTAAACTCTTTTTCTCCTGTTTCAGTTTATAACATAGCTTATGTTGATATTAAGAATACTCAGAACAGAATTTAAACCAAGGAACAAAATTAAATTATTGTATAATGCTAATTCAGGAATGTTTTCCAATTCAGCTTTTTCATATAGTGTCTTTTATTGCCTTCACGTTGCTTATTTCAGAAGTCATCTTTCTGCTTTTCCACTGTGTAAACACTGAAATAGGTGGTATAGAACTACAGAATCATAGGATCACAAAATGTTTGAGGAACCCCTTGGATTACTTAGTCCAGCTTCTCCTTTGAGACATTCAAGCCCTTAGTCATCTTCATGGCCCTGTCACTGAACTCACTTTGGTATGTTTATGTCTCTGAAGTATAGGGGAGCCCAGGACCCCAGATGTGTCTCACAGGCTCTGAATAGAGAGGAATGATCACTTTTCTCAATCTCCTTCTAATGCTCTGTCTAATGCAGCCCAGGACGCTGTTGGCCTTCCCTGCTGCAGGGTGCATGGCTGGTTTATGGTCCTTCTCACAAATGTTGCTCTCCAGGAAGTTGTTCCCCTGCCTGTCCTAGAATCTGGGGTTATTCACAGAATCACTGAACCATCTAGGTTGGAAAAGTCCTTGAAGAACATCCAGTCGAACCATTAACCTAACACTGACAGTTCTCAATTACACCAGATCCCTCAGCGATATGTCAGCTCTACTCTTAAACACCTCCAGAGATGGGGACTCCACCACCTCCCTGGGCAGCCCATTCCAATGCCCAACAAGCCATTCTGTAAAGAAATGCTTCCTAATATTCAGTCTAAACCTTCCCTGGCACAACTTGAGGACATTCCCTCTTGTCCTATCACTTGCTACTTGGTTAAAGAGACTCATCCCCAGCTCTCTGCACTCTCCTTTCAGGCAGCTGTAGAGGGCGATGAGGTCTCCCCTCAGCCTCCTCTTCTCCAGACTAAACCCCCCCAGTTCCCTCAGCTGCTCCCCAGCAGACCTGTGCTCCAGACCCTGCCCCAGCTCCGTTGCCCTTCTCTGGACACGCTCGAGTCACTCAATGTCCTTTTTGGAGTGAGGGGCCCAAAACTGAACCCAGTCATCGAGGAGTGGCCTCACCAGTGCCGAGTACAGGGGTCAGATCCCTTCCCTGTCCCTGCTGGCCATGCTATTGCTGACACAAGCCAGGATGCCATTGGCCTTCTTG